CTTAGGAATCTCAAACACGAGTTGTCTCTTCTGTCTGACGAACGTGCCATGGACATTATGAACCCTTTGGTGCCTGACCTTGAACCCACAGAAGAAGCAGAGGAATTACTCAAACAAGCGCTAACCCCGACCTACTTTTCATCCAATCAAAACAAAGACATCGACGACTACCAGGAAACGATTCCACTGTCCGCTGAAGCTGCCCAAGCCTTAGTAAACAACGTTCTACTGCTTGACCCCCTGCCCCGGGGGTCGGGTCAACCCACCCACCGCCGTCACTTCGCGAAACGATCTCACGGTGCCAGACGAAAACGCCACGCCATCACCAACCAGGAGGTCACGCTCAGCAACGCTGTGGCGGGACCACAAGACCCTCACCCCGAGGTCGCGGGTTCCAGACCACAGGGCACCCCTAAACCCCCGCGGTCGTCTGCTCCTGGGGGCAACTTGCCCAACCACAGGACGATAAACGTAGAATGAGACATTCAGTAAACAGGACGTGACGTCACTGAAAAAATCCCCGATGTTAATTATAACAAGCATTTAGGAAGATTAAAAATAAAATTTTAAATGTTTACAATTTAGATCTGGTGTGATAAAGAAATGAAAAGAAAATGTAACAAACAATGACGTCATTATTTTTGGCCTATTATTTAAATTATTACAAGTAACGTTTTCAGTAATTGATCCTTGTTTTATCTCCAACAATAATGACAATAAAATTTATCTTTGACCAAAATATCTGCTTCGTATCTTTGTAAGTTTTTTTTTTTGCTTTGATTTCAGCAACTATTTATTTCATTGGTGTTTACCATGAACAGGTGAACTCTACTTTACCTGCACTTATGGAACACCACGTTCCAAAGTGTAACTAGCATGAACAGGATGTGATGAGTTACTGGACCTACCCCACAATGGTGAGGTAGGTGAGGTAGGTGAGATAGCGTGGACAAACGCTGAGACAAAAATAACATTGGAAAAAATATCCGGATTAGCACTTTGAACATACTTCTGAAACGTAAATCAACATCAGCTGAATTCAAGCAATTAATATCAGATGAACCGGATTCGATGTTATTGCCCTATCACTGCCAAAGTTAAGAAACTATTTTTATAGATAACACACACACACACACACATATATATATATATATATATATATATATATATATATATATATATATATATATATATATATATATATATATATATATATATATATATATATATATACATATATATATATGTTTGTGTGTTCGCGCATGCATTTTTAAATTTTAATAGCATATACATTTGTATAATGCCAACTTACTTGTAAAATAAATTAAAATTTCCTTTTCAAACCTAAATGTCCATGGGGCAAGTAAATTAGAGTTCACCTGTTTCTGTGACCTAGGCATAAGAAGGGATAGTGTTCTCTAACTATGCCCAGCCGCTTTTACTTTCCCTAAGGTGAATTAGATGCCCATCAAAGCTGGGTAGATTAAGGGACGCTCTTCTGACTTGAACACGGATTTGAACTCGATACTTTACATCAGCAGTCTAGCACTCTACCCCGCCGTCCCCACCTGTACACTAGACACGATTAAAATCTTTACATCAACGGATTATCTTGTTAAACCAGTGATTTAACCAAGAGTATAATCTCTGAGGTCATTACCACGTCTATACCCAGACGCCAGCGTTAAGTGGAAATGGAAAAACCGTTAAGAAATTATTTATAGAAAATATTTAAACACATCATTGGCAGATTGCGCACTGAAATATGATTCGCATTTTAATGTCTTCTTTAAAGATTAAAATTTTCTTTTTCTTTTTTATAGTTATTTATCTTTTTGGTGATTCTAAGATGTTAAACGATGTAATTTTATGTGAACATTCAGGGGCAGTTATAAGAACATTAGCGACAATTATAATCTCCCTTTGTATTTTTTAGAGTGACAACTTGAAACATTCCAAGGCGGAAGTCACTAGTGTTGTTATTGACATGAACGAAGCTCACAGTGTACCGAATGTATCATTACTGTATGGGAAATACGAATTACTTTAACCAGCACACCAAACGCCTTTACTTTCCCTAACGTGAGTTAGGTACCCATCAGACTCAGTGACGTTGTACTGACTTGAATCCGGATTTAAACTCGATTCTTTCGGGTTAGCAGTATAGCGCTCTAGCGCTGTGATTTAACACAAATTAAAATGTAAGAAGACAGAACTATGTAGGTTTTGGGTGTTGACTTCTGTTTAGCATAGTGTACGTTAGACTAGATGATAATTCTAAAATAATCCTAAGAAGTTTAATTATATATATATATATATATATATATATATATATATATATATATATATATATATATATATATATATATATATATATATATATATATATATATATATATATATATATATATATTATAATGCTACTATAATATAATTAATAATAAAAGGTTTACGACACAAATTACGAAACACAATACTTAACACACTCGACGTCCTCCTCCAACCCCCCACCCCTACCCAAACCAACCGCCACACACCCTAGCACACTCTCTGTCACCCGTCAACTGACACACCTCACGTGAACACCTCTCATTCTATGTAAACACACTCAACCAAGGTCTACAACTGTATACAAAAAGTACACACACTCACAATCAGGGAACGCTACTTGTAAGGGAGGTAACACCTGGAAAATGGTTCAGAGGTTCCCACGTGTGGGTCTTTAAAAATTAGATTGTTATTCAACGTTCAGACACTTTAAGACTAGTCGTCCAAACATTTGTTAAAACTCCCCTGCAATCTTCAATTTATTTTAACAATAACAAAATATAACAAATAAGAAATATTTCAACAAATTAAAAAAAACACGAGAGACGAGGTTTGTTTCTTTTATTTTTTCTAATCCAGATTTTAAGTTTACTAATACTAATTAGTATTAAAGATGCTTGTTTGTATTTACATATTTCTTCTGTTTTAACTACACGTATTTACATAAACAATAAACAGTTCGATAAAATTGAATAGGGGAAAGGGGGGGGGGGGGCATAGACACACTTGCATACACTCCACTGCGATTATTGATCAATATCGACTGTAGCTGGATCGATATACATATATATATATATATATATATATATATATATATATATATATATATATACTTAAGATTTATGCAACTAGACTTGAGAGACTTAAGGTGTGATAACGTTCAGGTGTGCATCTGTAATACTCAGTTTTAGAAACCCGGAGACTCGATTACCGGTTTACCGGATGCCGGCTCATCAAATTCCGGTGTCTTAAGTTGCCGGTCGATATACATCGTTTCTAAAAATAAACTCTACCAGTAAGACAAACAAAATTTTCTATCATCATCTCCTGAACCCCCCCCCCCCCCCCCCCCCCCCACCTAAAACTATATCGTGCCGTCAGCTTTACTTAAGATTAAAAAAAAACCCTCTCAATTTACAGTAACTGCACAAAAAATAGCCAAAAAGAAACATCACTAAAGATCACGCGTTGATCTATCTTTAGAAACGTACTCGTCTTTAAACTCATATCGCTTTCCTATGTGTGTGGGTAGCGGGGTGGGGTGGGGTTCTAGCCGTTTTGCCGTACCATCTAACATCAGCCATCTTCATCTAACTGACACGTCTTAAACAATGGGTCATTATTTATTCATGGCTGGTTGCCACCTTCAATTAGGACGTCAGATAATTAATTAAGGACGTCAAACACTGATGGAGTCTTGTGTTGAGTGGTGTTGTGTTGATGTCTTTGTTAAATTTTTATTTTGTTGAAGTGTTGACACTATCAAGGGATGACAAAAATGTCTTGGGTCTATTTAACTTTGTGTTGAATTACAGAGTTTATTGTATGTTGTTGTTTGTGTTGAATGACTGCGTTTATTGTATGTTGGTTTTGTGTTGAATGACTGCGTTTATTGTATGTTGGTGTTTGTGTGTTTGCGTTGAATGATGGAGCTTATTGTATGTTGGTGTTTGTGTTGAATCACTAAGTTTATAACAATACTTCGTGTTGATGATCTATCTGTGTTTCTCTGTATGTTTTATCTATTCAAACATACCCAATCATGTTGCTATTTCGGACCTGTAGTTGTCGTATGCATGTTTATGCTAACTGTTGAGCTATTTTACTTGTTTGTGTTGATGTTATTAACAACAAACAAAACTATGAGATATAAACAAGTTACCTGGAGATGATACTTGTTAGGACTTGCTTTTGTTCCACTCAAGAAAAAGTCACACAGTTTTATTCTTTTTATTTCCGTCACTATTTCCAAAAGCTAACGTAACATTCTACATCCCGTCTAACCCCAAATGCCCCCTCAAAATTCGTTCACACAGTTTTCATACACACCTTCGACCATAGGGTAACAACACATAAACACGCGGGGTGAACTCAACTCACTGACACGCGGCCCCTGACTTCTAGACTATTCTAACCTGAGTCATAAGAACACTGCAGTTATAAACATAAATAAAAATATATACGTAATATGAAAAAAATATGCGAGGTCTACATAATACCTATTCTGTTAAACACATACATAATTTCATAGTGCCACTTATCTTAGACGCATTCGTCTGTTTTTAATTGTGTATGTTAAAATGTACAAAACGGTGTTGCTATAGCAGACCACAGTTAGTGCATATACGTTTATGTTGGTGCTAATTGATTATATGCCTGTTCGTGTTTTTAAAAGCGAGCAGAAAAGCTTGGCTAGATTAAATGATAACTAATCTATCACGTGGTTAAAACGTGAATTCCTCAACATTTTTAGACTTCACGTTTTCTTAAATACTGCAATACAATGGCGATATATACATACATATCAAGATTATATATTGGTTATATATTGGCTATATATATGTTATATATATATATATATATATATATATATATATATATATATATATATATATATATATATATATATATATATATATATATATATAACTAAAACGCCTTAAAAAAATTAATCTTTGGTCTCGGCATATGAAGGGTTAGGTACGCCATCTTATGACCCGCTACCTTTACTTTCCCGAACTCGAGCTCGGTACGAATAAAAGCTGGGTGGACTCTGGGACGTCCTACCCTTGAAGCAAACTACAGTCTTCTGGGGTCTGAATCGTGCGCTAAACCGCTCGGCCATATCTTACCCTATATACAAAATAAACTACATTAAAAAAAAATCACCGGACTTAACAATTAAACATTTTATAAAGTAGAAAATTAAATCCGTTTTTTAAAATACACTTCTACTTAAATTAAAGTCATATTTTTATTTACACATTAAAAACTTTAAACTATACAATCATATTACATATCTATATAGTAAAATCACATCAGTATCAGAGTACTAGATACATACTGCTTGTAACAGCATACAGGTGTCTGTAATCTAGATGTTCATACATTGACGACATATTACAGTAGATATCATACAGTTATATGTGTGTTCTAGATGTTCATACATTGACGACACATTAAAGTAGACATCATACAGTTATATGTGTGTTCTAGAAGATGTTCATACAGAACATCATCTAGATGATGATTCAGACATAGGGCGAATGAAAGAAAAACAAAATGACTTCCTTAGAGGTTTCTTACTGCTCACGTCTTATACCAACGTTTAGATCGTATTCAAGATGATGTAACAAAACCCCTGAGGTTAGGAGTAGGTTATGTCTGGGTTGGTAAAAGTCTTAACGCGGAGGTCAGTGTTTTACTAGATGTTGGGATCATGACTAGGGTTAGGGTTAGGATTGATGCTCATGTACTTTTGTTATGAAAAAATGTGGGTTCAAACGATTAGCTGCTTATCTCAGAGATAGGTAATTTGGAACTAATTAAACCGTCAGCAGTGAGTAACCCTGAGCTTAAGAATTACCTTACACTTACTTTATGAAAAACATTTACATAAAAACCTAACATTTTACTAGTGGAGTTTTTATAGGAACTATAATATTTATTTACTATTCAGTCTAAGCAGAACTGCTTGTCTAAGAGTTAAAAAGTAGAGTCTCTACTTGGAACAATAGGTGTGAGTAGATGAGCTAGTGACTGGATGATTGAGTGTGTATACCATACAAGAAATCAAGTTGAACAGATCCTTATGTTTAATTAATTAGGCTCAACTACTACATACAAAGATACATTTAAAGATAATAGCTTGCCTAAGGTTTGATGTTTTAAGTTTACAAAACAATACATTAAAAGAATTGCTTGCATGAAATCAAATAAACTACCGTATAAAATTGTTTGCCTACGATCAAGTAAACTGCTATATAAAATTGCTTGCCTGCGATCACGTAATCTACCTTATAAAATTGCTTGCCTGTGATCAAGTTAACTACTTTATAAAACTACCATAAACTACCGTAAACTACCGTAAACTACCGTAAACTACCGTAAACTACCGTACAACTTTTCAGTCAAACCAGTCGTCTGGAACCGGAAGTTCCATGCCCAGGTGGTCAATCTCGTCCAACAGGAAATCGATGTCCCGTGGGGTCAGGATGGGGTTGGAGATGGCCACACGGAACAGGTTGGGCAGGTGGCCGAGTGGCTGGTACTGGACCATCAGACTTCCGGCTTCCATCATCTTGGCCTTGATGGCCGGGGCCACCTGTGGTAAACGTGAGATGTGTATGATGGTGATGGTGTGTAGTCTTAGTTACCAGTTTAGAACGAGGTGTGGGTGTAACATTTGTTTCACGTGTTTGTGACCGAATTAATCATGTGTAGAAGAAAGCGCAGCAACTGCAACTTTTCCAACACTCTCGTACAAGGGAGAATCTCTTGAGTTCAGCCCATTTAAGACCAGCAGCCCTTGCTTCCTTTACAATAGTAGTCCAGTCTACCTACTTTTCTTTTAATTAGTATATTTCAGAGGCGTAGCGACCCTTCTCGGCGCCCGGAGACAAACTTTCAATTTGGCGCCCCCTTCGGGAGTAAATTTTCAATTTGTACCCCCCCCCCCCTCAAACTTTCGATTTTCACCCCCCCTCAAACTATTTATAATGCAAAAATGCAGCTAAAATGACGTTTTAATTTGTTTTTACAACCCATTTTGGCGCCCCCTAAGGTCGGCGCCCGGGGACATATGTACCCCTGCCCCCCCATCGCTACGCCTCTGGTATATTTCCTGTTTAGTGGCCTACTGTGTGTTTAGGTTATATATTACCCGTGCAGGATATAAATTTTTGTGTAAACCCTGAACCCTATTTTGAGTGAACCATGAACTCTAGAATGCCCCATGACCTACCTTGTGTGCACCCTGAACCCTATATTGTGTGAACCCTGAATCCTACCTCGTGTGAACCATGAACCCTAGTGTAAACCCTACCTTGTGTGAACCATGAACCCCAGTGTGAACCTTACCCTGTGTGTGCACCCTGAACCCTATATTGTGTGAACCCTGAATCCTACCTTGTATGAACCCTGAACCCAAGTGTGAACCCTACCTTGTGTGAACCCTGAACCCTACCTTGTGTAGGTGGTCAGACTTGATCTGCTGTAGCTGTCGAGTTCTCCAGGCAGGTGGGAGGTACCAGAAGCAGACGTTTGGTGCCTCGATCTGGTGACATACAGAATAAACCAGTGGTTAATGAGATACAGGTATCCCCTTCACAGACCAGGTAAGGCAGGTAATGTAGAGCCCATGTGTTTTTCTGGTTTACGCCTATGAAGAAATAGTGTGGTCAGCACTTAACCCAGAGGTCGTTACTTTTTCCAAGTAGTGCCAGGTACCCATCAGAGCTGGGTGAACTCAAGGATGTTCTGTGAGCTAGTGAACCGAACTCGAGATATTCATGTTAGTAGTCGTGAGTTGTACCGCTCGACCACGCCATCCCACACCGAGGTTAGACAGCGAGTTCAAACCCCAGAGGGATAATGAAAGTTAATGTGAAGACAGGTGGACCTAGAACTGACTACACTTTCATATACCGATGTTACAGAAACAGAAGAACTCTACTTCCTCTACCCCTTTCGGTCTGAGAGAGAGTCTTTACTTTTACTTTACGATAACGACCGAGACACCATCCGGCATTAAACATCATAACCCACGAGATACCATCCGGCATATAAAATAATGACCGGCTAAACACCAACCGGCATTAAACACCATGACCGGTAAAAATTATTGCTCATAGGAACTTTTTGCCTTGTCTGAAAATAACGAACGTTTTTACTTTCTCGGATCAGGAATGAAGAGGAAGTAATTTTAACGTGCGAAAAATCGGAATCGAAACTTGTGAGCGATTTCCGGTAACCGTAGAGGTACTTTGCTCTATTTCCGTGGGAACGCTATAGCTACAGTTACAGTTAGGTAGACGACGTTTTAAATAGATCTACAAGTATAAGATGACTTTAAATTTTCGAGTGACCGCCGATATCCGTAAGGTGTAATTTAATTCCGGTGTCTATCGAAATTGTGAAAGATTTCCGGTGACTGGAAGTAGAAAGTCACGCTATTTCAGATTTCACAAAAGAAAAGTTGCTAATTTTGTATCAACCTTTTTAAATCAGAATATTCTAAATAATGTTTTTTCTCTCGAAAAACAAGCGGTTTTGTCACAAATTTCTAGATTTCTTAAGCTCATTGTACTAAAAGTGCTATTCTAACCTTCGAGCTAAATAAGAATTTAAGAGAAAATTGAATTGATATCACTCCCACTTTCTTGAATTGGAGCCAGTGATGAAAGCAGCCTTCTCAAACAGGAGGAAAGTGTTGTGTTATTTATCGTCTGCTAAATTAAATGCTGACCGGTGCTATAAATAGGCGCCACGCGCTTCTTGTAAAACAACTCCAGATCATAATGCACCTGGCTAAGCATCTTGAAAACCGATGCCCATACACATATATTGGGATCGACTAGACCAGGGGTCTCCAAACTACGGCCCGCGGGCCGAATGCGGCCCGCGAAGTCCTCTCATCCGGCCCGCTGAGATCTTTTTGTCCAAGGAAAAATCGTTTGTTGGTGATGGCTGAGGAACTTTGCCCAGAAAAATCAAATACATGCCTGGAAGAAACTGGCCCCCGAACTGAAATTTGATAGTTAATGCGGCCCTCGGACTGAAAAGTTTGGAGACCCCTGGACTAGACGATCGTTTGTCGTAAGGCAATTAATATTTTATTAACCCCAGGGTGAGGCGATTCAACCCACGGGTAAGTTTTTAAAGCCCGTGGGTTGGAGGGGATTATAAACAAATTAAGAAATATTTTGTAATTTGTGTGTGTGTAATTTAATGTAACTTTTAATTAAAATAACTACTGAGGTTAGATCATTACAATAATTGCCATGGGACTAATTATCTTCCATTGAAATCACTGTCAGTGTTTCTTCCAGACTTTTTTCTCCGAAGGGGGGGGGGGGGGGGGCACTTGAAATTTTCGGTGGGGGCGGACACTGTTAAAAGTATATATTTTCTATATAAATTATATAAATTTAATTTCATTCGGGGGGGGGGGGGGGAATACATTTTTTAGGGGGGGGGGGGGCTCGAAGATATGACTGGAAGAAACTCTGATCACTGTGAACATACTTGTCTTCAACCAAACTAGCTGATAGAATACTCGCCATGCAGGTAATTGGGTCAGGTGTAAAACTTACTATAACAACACCACTCCTAACTACCTCGCAGTGACCGACTTTTTTAATTAATGAATATTTCTACCTTGTCCATTATCCATCGACATTCTAACCCAAAATATGGCTTAATTCCTAACTAATTCCTAATCCAAAGCCTCTAACTAATTTGTAACCCAAACCCTCAAACTAATTGTTAACATAAATCCTCTAGCTTACCCTAACCCTAATTATCGAACTAATTCCTAGCCCAAACTTTCTGATTTCTAACCCAAACTCTAATTCTTAACCCAAATCATCTAGCTAATTACTAATTAGCTAAAGAAAGTTGACGTTAAAAAAATTAAATCACGAGTCTACTGGGTATGTGTGGCAGGGGTAGATAATGATTCTGACAGTTTGGTCTAGATTGATTTGGTATTCGATACTCCCCACGTGAACATTTGGTCTAGATTGATTTGGTATTCGATACTCCCCTCGTGAACATTTAGTCTAGATTGATTTGGTATTTGATACTCCCCACGTGAACATTTGGTCTAGATTGATTTGGTATTTGATACTCCCCACGGGAACATTTAGTCTAGATTGATTTGGTATTTGATACTCCCCACGTGAACATTTAGTCTAGATTGATTTGGTATTTGATACTCCCCACGTGAACATTTGGTCTAGATTGATTTGGTATTTGATACTCCCCACGTGAACATTTAGTCTAGATTGATTTGGTATTTGATACTCCCCACGTGAACATTTGGTCTAGATTGATTTGGTATTCGATACTCCCCACGTGAACATTTGGTCTAGATTGATTTGGTATTCGATACTCTCCACGTGAACATTTGGTCTAGATTGATTTGGTATTCGATACTCCCCACGTGAACATTTGGTCTAGATTGATTTGGTATTTGATACTCCCCACGTGAACATTTAGTCTAGATTGATTTGGTATTTGATACTCCCCACGTGAACATTTGGTCTAGATTGATTTGGTATTTGATACTCCCCACGTGAACATTTAGTCTAGATTGATTTGGTATTTGATACTCCCCACGTGAACATTTAGTCTAGATTGATTTGGTATTTGATACTCCCCACGTGAACATTTAGTCTAGATTGATTTGGTATTTAATACTCCCCACGTGAACATTTAGTCTAGATTGATTTGGTATTCGATACTCCCCACGTGAACATTTGGTCTAGATTGATTTGGTATTCGATACTCCCCACGTGAACATTTGGTCTAGATTGATTTGGTATTCGATACTCCCCACGTGAACATTTGGTCTAGATTGATTTGGTATTCGATACTCCCCACGTGAACATGGGTCACACTGACCTGCTCCAAGACCAGGTGAAATCCTTCTCTGTCCTTCACCTTGTCCCGGAGGTATCTAAAACACAAAGGTTAAGTCAACACATTTAATCAGAATGTCAGACAGCCCGTCTCCTCTATGGATATCGTTTGGTGGGCTTCTTTGTTGTTTAGTGGTTGGTTGTATTTGCTGTGTGTGGTGGTATTTGGTGATGTTTGATGATATTTAGTGGTATTTAGTTGTTTCCGGTGTTATTTCTTGCCTGGTATTCTGATTATTTAAATAGGCACCAACAACAGTTTGGAGTTGAGCGTGTAGAGGTGGAATCAGCCCCCCCCCCCCCCCCCCCCCCTTGCACACACAATTTTACATTTACCCCCTCACAAATACGCTTCTATATGTCTTTAGATAGTAGGTAGCAGTTTGCGAGAGAGTTTAAAAAGACGTTAAGACGAGAAAAGACGAGAAAGAATTGGGTTATTTTTACCTGGCTAAGTTAAAGTTTCGGTTGATCTGTTCTTCAAAGCCTTGGTCGCCCTAAACTCAAGGGGAGAAAACAAAAATCATGAGTTATATCCCTTTTAAATTAGTTATCACTTATTTGTGATATAACTAAATATATAATTCTCTACCACAACTTAAAGATATTGTTGTGGCTCCCACACATCCCACCCACACCCTCCCACACACACACTCACACACCCACCTTTGCTCGCCACATGAGCCACAACTTAAAGATGTCGTTGTGCCTCCCACACATCCCACCACACCCACACACCCACCTTTGCTCGCCACATCAGCCACAACTTAAAGATGTCGTTGTGCCTCCCCCACATCCCACCACACCCACACACCCACCTTTGCTCGCCACATTAACCACAACTTAAAGATGTCGTTGTGCCTCCCACACATCCCACCCACCTTTGCTCGCCACATGAGCCACAACTTAAATATGTCGTTGTGCCTCCCACACATCCCACCCCACCACACCCACCTTTGCTCGCCACATCAGCCACAACTTAAAGATGTCGTTGTGCCTCCCACACTGTATACTCATGTCCCCCGTGTCGTAGCTGACGTCATAGTGCTTGTCCTTCTGGAAGAGGTAGCTGGCGCCCATACCGTTACAGCTTTTCAACATTCCCTAGAACAACAGCAGGGAAAACACAGACTTAGTTCAACATTCTATGTAACAACAGGAGAGCAAAATAAGAGGGATGAGGGCGGTTAATAATGTGATTTGGCATCAATTTTGTATTTTTGATGCTTTCATTTACATGCCCGTAAAATCGTGGACAGCCTTCTCTTAAAATTTCTGATGTTACTTAAGAGTCTTCATACGATTGACCGCTAGTAGTGTAGTTGTTTATACGGAACAGGACGTCAACTATTGAACTCACCGTGTGTTTGATGTCGACAGGACGTGACGTAACCAACACATGTGTTAATGAACTCACCATGTCTTGATGACATCATGATGTGACGTAACTAACACATGTGTTAATGGACTCACCCTGTGTTTAGTGATGAAGGCCGAACACTGCAGGGGCACGCCCATCATCTTGTGTGGGTTCCAGGTGATGGAGTCAGCCCTGACAGGTGTAAACAGGTGTCAGTGGCAGGTGTGTGACAGGTGTTAATGGAGGGTAGGGGAGGGGTAGGCCGCTAGCTCACACACTGTATACATCATAAACACGCAATACAAACACTCTTATACACGTATTCATACATTTACACCAACACTACACCTACACACACACTACACCCACACACACACATACCCACACTACACCTACACACACACTACACCAACACCTACACACGCCAATACCCACACCCATACCCGCACCCACACCTACAAATACCTTCATTTGTCTGCAAAGCTATACGTTATATGACCTACTGAGCGGATAAATTGAAAGGGGCAGTTTTAAAAATAAAACGTTTTTGAATAATTAAACGATTTCATTCTGACCTTTTGACCCCTTCCATCAAGTACCGGTGGTCATGTGACAACAAAGCTCCGCCTCCCCACGCCGCCTGCAAAAAGTGGAAGAAAAAATAATTGAGAACAATTAATGCTTGTGTTCATTTGAACAATTCTCAAGCATTGTGCACGTTACATACAACAAAATACATGTTATCCACCCTTTCCTTACAACATAAAATTATGTAAATTACCCCTCATATTATAAGCAAAAATTATGTACTCCCCCCCACCCACCCACTCCCCCCCCCCCCCTCCACCCGCCCGATTGAAAATGTTACAACAGAAATGATGTGATTTGTGTTAAGCATACACCAGGGGTCAGCAGATTTATCTGTTGGAGTTGGGTCTGTTGGACTTTATTTGACCCGGAACCAGCTAGACCAAACGTCAGTTAGAGATAATTTCTACTGGCCAGGGGTCAGTTAGACATGTCTGTTGACCGGAAGTCAACTGTAGACCAGGGGTCAGACATATCTTTAGACCAGGGGTCAGACATATCTTTAGTCCAGGGGTCAGACATATCTTTAGACCAGGGGTCAGACATATCTTTAGACCAGGGGTCAGACATATCTTTAGACTAGGGGTCAGATAGCTTTAGACTAGGGGTCAGATAGCTTTAGACCAGGGGTCAGACATATCTTTAGACCAGGGGTCAGACATATCTTTAGACCAGGGGTCAGACATATCTTTAGACCAGGGGTCAGACATATCTTTAGACCAGGGGTCAGACCTATCTTTAGACCAGGGGTCAGACATATCTTTAGACCAGGGGTCAGACATATCTTTAGACCAGGGGTCAGACATATCTTTAGACCAGGGGTCAGACATATCTTTAGACCAGGGGTCAGACATATCTTTAGACCAGTGGTCAGATATCTTTAGACCAGGGGTCAGACATATCTTTAGACCAGGGGTCAGACCTATCTTTAGACCAGGGGTCAGACATATCTTTAGACCAGGGGTCAGACCTATCTTTAGACCAGGGGTCAGACATATCTTTAGACCAAGGGTTAAACATCTTTAGACCAGGGGTCAGACCTATCTTTAGACCAGGGGTCAGACATATCTTTAGACCAAGGGTTAAACATCTTTAGACCAGGAGTCAGACATATCTTAGACCAGGGGTCAAACATCTCTAGACGAGGGGTCTGGCACATCTTTAGACCAGGGGTCAGACACATCTGTAGACCAGGGGTCAGACACATCTGTAGACCAGCTGTCACAGTCGACACGTGACCTGTGGTCAGCCAACCGTGTACTCACGTCCACATGCAGCCACACGTGGTACTCCTCACACACGTCAGCGATCTCATCCACGGGGTCGAAGGCCCCCAGCACCGTGGTGCCACATGTGGCGTTGACCATCACAACCACACAGCCGGACATCACGGCGTTGACCAGCTTGCTCTTTAGGTCGCTGACGTCCATCTTACCGCTGGTGATGGAGTGAGAATCGTGGGTTACTTCCGTCACATATGTCAAATACAACGTGTGATAGAATGGGGTGTGGGGGTGGGGGGGGGGGGGGGTGGACTTAGTTTTGAAAGAAACTCTGACTGTGAAATGTAGGTCACGGATGGCTGGTTTCCATTACCGTTAATAAAGTCGTTTAGTGATCGCGGACTACTCATGGGGTTTTAAAGCAAACGAGCCGACCCGCTGCGTATCATACGCCGCTATTTAGTTGTTTTTTTTTCTACTTTTCAAAAATTTATAATTTGTGAATTCGACAGTACCAATGCTGCCACTGAAAATATTTGCTTAAAAACCCTTCCCCCCCCCCCCCCCCCCCCTCCCACGTGAAAGCAGCCTCCTCTTAGTTTAAAATAGTTTCAAACAAAATTATCTGCCCCTAATAGCCGTCACCAAACCCGTCTCTATGATTGTAAAATGTAAACAGCGTGAACCACAGCTCACCAGACCATGTGAGGTGGTGGGGGGGTGGGGGGTGGGGGGTGGTAGCGATAGAGAGGAAGAGAGGGGACTGTAAGGCGCGCTTGCAGCTTGTTTTCTAACGGCTCCCAGAAGAGAATTATATATATATATATATAGATATTTTGTCGTAAAAAAAATATGTAAAACTTTTTAATATAAGTTTTTAATTATTCTTGAAAATAAAAAATAAACAAAATTTCTTTTCTTTAAAAAATAGCATTGGTCGTTAGTGAAATCTCTTACTAAAGGTTTTATTACTGGAAGCAAATTTTTAAACGTTTTTTTTTTTTTTACATTTTTCCAGGCTTTTATTTTAAAGCATAATATGAAGTTTTAAAACCAAATAATGACTTCATTAAATGATGGAATACAATTTTAAACAGTTACGGGAGGTAAGTCGTTTCTTTTTCAAATAACTCTAGTTATCCCCCTTAAACATACGTATCGCTAAATTAACAGTATTTTTTTTTTTTTTTTTTTATATATATATTATCACGAGCTGACCCGCGACGTAGCAAGAATGTGTTTAATGAATTACAACTTACTTGTCTAGACACCGGATGTAGATGACGTTGTTGGTACCGAGTCCCAACATGGCTGCCGCTCGCTTGATTGAGAAGTGGCTCTGTGAAAAATGTAAGGGGGTTGAGGTGGTTGATGGGGTCAGGGGTCGTGAGGATCATGGGGTCAAGGTCGTCTGGATGATGGGGTCAAGGTCGTCTGGATCATGGGGTCAGGGGTCGTGTGGATCATGGGGTCAGGGTCGTGGGAATCATGGGTTCTGGGGTCGTGTGGGTGATGGGGTCAAGGTCGTGTGGGTAATGGGATGTTGCAATAGGGAGGGACCTGCTTATAGTTTCTCCTGTACTTTTTCATATTACGACGTTGAGCAAAAGGTAGAGGGGTGGGGGGGGGGGGGGTAGGGGGCGACCCCGAATGTAAAGGTTAGGGTCGTTAGTACGTTCTATCGTACCAGAACCCTATCTCGCTAATCTAATTTTTAAAAAAAACAGCTTCCGGGAAAATGACCTTGACCTTTTTTGGCAATGCCCTTTGTCTTGAAAGGTGATGTGCGTTTATTTTAGAGTGGTAGCGTCATTTAATGTGCGCCATTTCAAAGGTTCTCCAAACAATAAAAGATTTATATTTGTAGTGGCATCCGGCAAACTTTGGGACAGGGGGGCCTTTAATAGTCACTTATTACTGTTAGGTCATTGTTAAAGCTATGAAAGTTAAGTTGACCGAAAGAAAGTAGGTCACCCACGTGTTCTGAGGTAAACACGACAGCCTTGACACCCTGACTGATACCGTTAAGTTTGACTTCCGGTAGGGCGTGGTGACGTGCCAGTAGGACACCATACAGGTTGGAGATAGCGCCACCTGGGGATGAAACATATACATATAATTACATGCTGTAATGGCGCCATCTAAAGTTAAAACAAGCGTACATAGTTACAACCTATAATGGCACCATCCATCTGTCGATGCGTATTTGATAAGTGTGTGATAAGTGTGTGATAAGTGTGGGATACATGTGGGATACATGTGTGATAAGTGTGGGATATGTGTGTGATAAGTGTGTGATAGGTGTGGGATAAGTGTGGGATACATGTGTGATACATGTGTGATAAGCGTGGGATACATGTGTGATACATGTGTGATAAGTGTGGGATAGGTGTGTAATAAGTAAATCGTGTACCAGGAGCAAAGATGGCTTCCCCGTCCTCCCAGCCAACCAGACTGCGCATGCGCGTTAAAATCACTTCCTCCATCAAGGTAAACACAGGTGCTGCCTCGTAGGTGAACCTGAAAGTATTGAACACCTGGGGTGTCATAGGTGTCACTAGCTGGGGTGTCATTGGTGTCAGTAGCTGGGGTGTCATTGGTGTCAGTAGCTGGGGTGTCATAGGGGTCAGTAGCTGGGGTGTCATTGGTGTCAGTAGCTGGGGTGTCATAGGGGTCACTAGCTGGGGTGTCATATGTGTCAGTAGCTGGGGTGTCATAGGTGTCAGTAGCTGGGGTGTCATTGGTGTCAGTAGCTGGGGTGTCATGGGTGTCACTAGCTGGGGTGTCATAGGAGTCAGTAGCTGGGGTGTCATGGGTGTCACTAGCTGGGGTGTCATGGGTGTCACTAGCTGGGGTGTCATAGGGGTCAGTAGCTGGGGTGTCATAGGGGTCAGTAGCTGGGGTGTCATAGGGGTCAGTAGCTGGGGTGTCATAGGGGTCAGTAGCTGGGGTGTCATAGGGGTCAGTAGCTGGAGTGTCATAGGGGTCAGTAGCTGGGGTGTCATAAGTATCACAAAGTGGGGTGTCATGGGTGTCACTAGATGACTCAGTATCTGGCGTTACTACATGGGGTGTCATGTCACAAACGCCACTAGCTGGGGTGTCATAACGTCAGTAGCTAGGATGTCATGTCAGAAACGTTACTAGTTGCGGTGTCACAGGTGTCATTAGCTGGGATGTTACATTCTGAAAAAAAAGTGCTAGCTTGCATTACACCTTCCACCTGCACATTTGCTAGCTAGACCACAACTAATTAAAAATTGCCATCAATCACTTTTTAATTAAAAAGCCATCTCGAATAGACATAAATCTGAAGTCTGTGCCACCTACAAATCTGTATCTGTTTTACCAGAAGCTTCAAAGAACTCATTAAGTGTTAATTAAGCCTGAATAATTGACCAGCTGACCACGCCAGGGGAGATAATCAGATTAAGACTGTCTTGGCTGTTGAAAGTTATTGCCCTTGGTACTTTAAAACGTTGTTTAGGTTGTACAGACGTGGATTATCTTTACATAGAGGCTTGTTTTGTAGAGTGCAGGACCTAAAGTACAGAGGTCCTACAGACTGTAGGTCATACAGGACCTAAAGTACAAAGGTCCTAGAAAAATGTCCTACTGTTCTAAATTACTATACTACAGAAAAAAAATATCCTAGTACAAAATTTTCAGGCGTAACAGATTATATATCATACGGGATTAAAACTATCTAAAGTAATTATCGTCATCATCATCATCATCACCATTATCATCATCATCATCCTCACCACCATCATTATCATCACCATCATTATCATCATCATCATCATGATCATCGTCATCATCATCATCATCATCATCGTCATCATCATCATCATCATCATCATCATCATCATCAATATCATCATGATCATCGTCATCATTATCATCATCATCATCATCATCATCATTATCATCATCATCATCATCATCATCATCATCACCATTATCTTCATCAACATCAACATCACCATCATCATCACCACCACCATCATCATCATCATCATCATCATCTTTCAAGGACCATTGGCAGACAGGCATCAACAAGTAAGCGCCATTCATCCCGTCTCTTGCTGTAACCTCTGCCTGTGGGAATGTTAGGCCTCTATCCTTCAACTCTTTTTCTTTTGATCTTCTACAAGTTTCTTTTTGCCGTCATCGACTTTTCTTCCTTATCGTGTCCATCTGAGATCCGTCATTACTGATGTGTCATCTTTGAAATACTTACTTTTTAGTATAATGAATACGTATCGGAATGTATTCTTGTTAATCTGGTATCACTATCCTAAGCCTACCTAACCCAAAGATCTCATAGTAAAAGCTTTAATCATGTTGCTAACGTATCGATGAAACCTAAGGTATAAAAAGTGTCAATTCTGTGTTGTATCTGGAAGAGTTTTTTTTTTAATTAATAAGAACCGGAAGTTGATAATGAGGGAGATGTCAAGGTGTGATTGACGTCTGTCACTTACAGGTTTGTGTTGGCAGCGGCTGCTGACCACGCCCCTGCCACGCCCACGATGTCTATGCCTGTTGACAGCTGGTTAAAGAAATGAGCATGGCCTGAAAGGAAACAAGGTGAGCCTGGAGTCAGTGTTTCTTCTAGACTTTTTTCTCCGAGGGGGGGGGGGGGGGGGACACTTGAAATATTCGAGGGGGGGGGGCGGAATACATTTCTGAATAGATGCCAGGAAGAAACACTGCCTGGTGTCATATGTACACTTGTACCCGGTAGAGGTTTTAGATAGGTTCAATGTAAACCTTATGTCATGTACATTGGTACCTGGTTTCAAGTAGGTTTAGTAGGCCTACGCCTTCAGGCATGACATTCTCTGACCAGTGTACATACTGACCACCCACTGACCTGTACATACTGACATACCCACTGACCCGTGTACACGCTGACCCGTGTACACACTGACCCACCCACTGACTCGTGTACATACTGACACACCCACTGACCTGTACATACTGACATACCCACTGACCCGTGTACACACTGACCCACCCACTGATCCGTGTACACACTAACCACCCACTGACCCCTGTACACGCCGACCCGTGTACACACTGACACACCCACTGACCCGTGTACACACTGACCACCCACTGACCCGTGTACACACTGACCCACCCACCGACCCGTGTACTGACCCGTCTTGACGCAGTACTTGAGGGTCTCCTTACAGTCACTCAGTACCTGCTCTAGGTCACGTGGTTCAGGGTGGACGTCCAGACAGTGGGACATGATGTCCTTCAGCTGAAATAAAGAGAGGATCAATGTCCTGTGGGACATGATGTCCTTCAGCTGAAATAAAGAGAGGATAAATGTCCTGTAGGACATGATGTCCTTCAGCTGAAATAAAGAGAGGATCATTTTCCTGTAAGACCGATATCAGCCTCTTGAATAAGCTCATTCATATTTTTAACTATCAAAATATCACAGATATTCTCACCTGCCCAAACAGATATTCTCACCTGCCCCACACAGATATTCTCACCTGCCTCACACATATTCTCCCCTGCCTCACACACATATTCTCCCCTGCCTCACACAGATATTCTCACCTGCCCCACACAGATATTCTCACCTGCCCCACACATATTCTCCCCTGCCTCACACACATATTCTCCCCTGCCTCACACAGATATTCTCACCTGCCCCACACAGATATTCTCACCTGCCTCACACATATTCTCCCCTGCCCCACACAGATATTCTCCCCTGCCTCACACAGATATTCTCACCTGCCTCACACAGATATTCTCACCTGCCTCACAGATATTCTCACCTGCCTGACACAGATATTCTCACCTGCCCCACACAGATATTCTCACCTGCCCCACACAGATATTCTTACCTGCCCCACACACATATTCTCACCTGCCCCACACAGATATTTTCACCTGCCTCACACAGATATTCTTACCTGCCTCACACAGATATTCTCACCTGGCCCACAGATATTCTCACCTGGCCCATACAGATATTCTTACCTGCCCCATACAGATATTCTCACCTGCCTCACACATATTCTCCCCTGCCCCACACAGATATTCTCACCTGCCCCACACAGATATTCTCACCTGCCCCACACAGATATTCTCCCCTGCCTCACACATATTCTCCCCTGCCTCACACAGATATTCTCACCTGCCCCACACAGATATTCTCACCTGCCTCACACATATTCTCCCCTGCTCCACACAGATATTCTCACCTGCCTCACACATATTCTCCCCTGCCTCACACAGATATTCTAACCTGCCTCACACATATTCTCCCCTGCCACACACAGATATTCTCACCTGCCCCACACAGATATTCTCACCTGCCCACACAGATATTCTCACCTGCCTCACACATATTCTCCCCTGCCACACACAGATATTCTCACCTGCCCCACACAGATATTCTCACCTGCCCACACAGATATTTTCACCTGCCTCACACATATTCTCCCCTGCCACACACAGATATTCTCACCTGCCCCACACAGATATTCTCACCTGCCCACACAGATATTCTCACCTGCCTCATACATATTCTTACTTGGCCCACAGATATTCTCACCTGCCTCACACATATTCTCACCTGCCCACACAGATATTCTCACCTGCCTCACACATATTCTCCCCTGCCACACACAGATATTCTCACCTGCCCCACACAGATATTCTCACCTGCCCACACAGATATTCTCACCTGCCTCATACATATTCTTACTTGGCCCACAGATATTCTCACCTGCCTCACACATATTCTCACCTGCCCACACAGATATTCTCACCTCCCCCACACAGATATTCTCACCTGGTGTGGGTGATGAAAGTCAACGACCTTTGTTGACCGGTCCGACTCGGACAACACGAATGACGTCAGAATCTCACACAACGATTTGAGGAATCTCCTGATCTTGTCGGCACCATGGGGACCCTGAAAGTCTGGGAGGGGGGGGGTGGGGAAGAAGGTAACACGTGTACACAAGTAAACCACACTCAACGCCGACCCACCATATAGACTGTAGTGGTCGGTGCATCAACCAGCCCACACATAGACTGTAGTAGTCGGTGCCACAAACTTAGCTACAGCGTATCAAAAAGTGGGTCCATACGATCAGTCTGGTTGAATCCACATCTCAGTGTAAGTCTAATGCGTTGTTAATCAAATATAATAAAATAGATATGACATCTTTAATTAAAGCAGTCAGAGTTATTAGATAATATTACTTATAAAATAGAACAACTATAAAATCGAGGACATCCTGATACACACACACACACACACACATACACACACACACACACACACACACATACACACCCAACAATAAAAAAATAGATACAGGTAGACAACGACAAATTCAAATGGGAAAAAAGTGTCAAGAATAAATAAAAATACATTGACTTGACTTTTTATCGTTCAGCTGAGCGGAAAAATAGATTCGAAATAAATTTTCTCCCTTAGCACTAGACCTTGTCAGTGGCGTCACTAGGTGGGGTAACCCCCGGTGCGATTGTAGAGGGTGTCACCCCGCCACCACGCAACACATTTGTATTTTCAGCTTGGTGTCACCCTTCTTCACTACATTATATTTATAACTGGATATAACATTGTTTTGAGTAAATTGTTCGATTTTTTCGATTTGGTGTCACCCCTTAAATGGTGTCACTAGTTATCGCCTCCCCTAGCAATAGCCCTACCTTCTACTGCCCCACCCTCATCCAAAATGACGTCACATGTCGGCTGACTGGCCGTCAAATTTTTCGGCAGGGGATATAACCACGCCATGTTTTTTTATTTTAAAATATTAATCGAGTAGTTCCCCGTTAGTAATAAAATCGCTAACTTTATTTTGTACACAACTATATAGGAAAAATTCGCATCAATATCAGATTCGTTAAACAATTTTCATAACTATTCCCACACAAAAATTGTTTTTAAATATACATAAAAGGGGTTTAAATCAAGCAAAAAAAAAAGTTTAAAAAAATCGAATCGCCACAAAAGTCATCCCTCCCTCTCCCCTTCTCCTAAGAGTGTGACGTATCTTTTACCCATAGCATAAATTCTAAACCTAATATTACGACACTACCAACAGAAGAACTATATCAAGACAGTCCATTATCAGGCACAAGTAAGGGAATACTCTCAAATTTTATAAAATAGAGCCCATCAGTGACGTAGCCAGGATCGTCTCAAAAGGGGGGGGGGGGGGTGTTTCCAATTTTTACCCGGGGACAAACTTTCGATTTGCACCCCTCCCTCAAACTTTATATATATATACCGAGGAACTATTGGGGGGGGGGTTATGACCCCCTAACCCCCCCTGCCTACGCCACTGGAGCCCATTAACTATTTTAATTATACACAGGTTCAGTTTGAAACTTATTCTTGTGCCAAAAACAAAACGTCATACCCTTGGAAAAAACGTTTTCAAAATCTGACCAATCAGAAATGGATTCCTTCCGGTCGCCATCTTCCTCCTCGTGCAAGAGCTGATTGGACAGACATTCTTTGTTGGTTGTCTGCTGACCGGTGCTGTGTCCGGCTTGCGGTGTCGCGTCTTCAGACGTCTCCGGTTCCTTGCCTCGTTTTGTCTTCTGGAACACTCCGCAGTTTAGATACATGGCTAGCCTGGGGAAGGAAATGTCCAGTTGGTGAGGGAAATGTCCAGTTGGTGAGGGAAATGTCCAGTTGGTGAAGGAAATGTCCAGTTGGTGAAGGAAATGTCCAGTTGGTGAGGGAAATGTCCAGTTGGTGAGGGAAATGTCCAGTTGGTGAGGAAAATGTCCAGTTGGTGAGGGAAATGTCCAGTTGGTGAGGGAAATGTCCAGTTGGTGAGAGAAATGTCCACTTGGTGAGGGAAATGTCCAGTTGGTTAGGGAAATGTCCAGTTGGTGAAGGAAATGTCCAGTTGGTGAAGGAAATGTCCAGTTGGTGAAGGAAATGTCCAGTTGGTGAAGGAAATGTCCAGTTCGTGAGGGAAATGTCCATTTGGTGAGGGAAATGTCCAGTTGGTGAGGGAAATGTCCAGTTGGTTAGAAAAATGTCCAGTTTGTGAAGGAAATGTCAGGTTGATAAGTGACATGTCCAGTTCGTGAGGGAAATGTCCAGTTGGTGAGGGAAATGTCCAGTTGGTGAGGGAAATGTCCAGTTGGTGAGGGAAATGTCCAGTTGGTGAGGGAAATGTCCAGTTGGTGAGGGAAATGTCCAGTTGGTGAGGGAAATGTCCAGTTGGTGAGAGAAATGTCCACTTGGTGAGGGAAATGTCCAGTTGGTTAGGGAAATGTCCAGTTGGTGAAGGAAATGTCCAGTTGGTGAAGGAAATGTCCAGTTGGTGAAGGAAATGTCCAGTTGGTGAAGGAAATGTCCAGTTCGTGAGGGAAATGTCCATTTGGTGAGGGAAATGTCCAGTTGGTGAGGGAAATGTCCAGTTGGTTAGAAAAATGTCCAGTTTGTGAAGGAAATGTCAGGTTGATAAGTGACATGTCCAGTTCGTGAGGGAAATGTCCAGTTGGTGAGGGAAATGTCCAGTTGGTGAGGGAAATGTCCAGTTGGTGAGGGAAATGTCCAGTTCGTGAGGGAAATGTCCAGTTGGTGAGGGTAATGTCCAGTTGGTGAGGGAAATGTCCAGTTGGTGAGGGTAATGTCCAGTTGGTGAGGGAAATGTCCAGTTGGTGAGGGAAATGTCCTGTTGGTGAGAAAAATGTCAAGTTGGTGAGGGAAATGTCAGGTTGATTAGTGACATTTCCAGTTGGTGAGGGAAATGTCCAGTTGGTTAGGGAATTGTCTTGTTTTAAGCTAATCCGGTGGGGGTGGGAATTTTGAGTTTTAAGCTAAACTTTTGGGTGAAGTGTCCTGTTTTAAATTAATTTTATGAAACTAATGCCCAGTACTAAGCAAATACATGATGTGAAAATTTCACAGGCTTAAGCTAATCCTGTAAAAACAAAATTCCCTTTCAAAGCAGATCATGCGAAAGAAATATCCATGAAGACAAACTGCGGTTTCTAGATTATACAGATTACTCTTGCTGATATTCTCCGAGCGACTTCGATTTTACTTTCTCGTATACAGAGTATACAGAGTAAAACTGGACTTTGCAATTCTGTCCGTATGTCTGCGTGTGTGTGTATATGTGTGTGTGTATGTGTGTGTAAACACGATAACTTGAGTACCTTTACAACTAGGTAGATAAAATTTCATATATAAGTATTATATAAAATTTGTAGTTCTGTATCAACTTTTTAGAAGCTTCCAATAACCGGAAGTTGAACTTATTCTACTTTCAATTTTTCAAAAGCCTATGAATTGAGTACTGTTTCAGTTAGATAAATGAAATTTCACATGTAAGTAAAAGATCTGATTCTCTACCTTCTATCAAATTGTTAGTAATTTCCGTTGAACGGAAGTAGTAATTTACGCTATTTCCAATATCTGAAAAAACTAATGTAAATTTATAAAGTACTAATAATATCCCGCACTATTAAGCACATTTTATTTGGCGTTCACTTGGTGTGCAATTCCTTTTTTTTTCGAGATTCTATCTATATGCATATATAAAGCAAAGTGGTCAAGTGCCGCAGGCGCGTCAAATTTGGCACGATGATGCCTTGGGGCGATAGAACACGAGAGCCGGTGACGGTTGGCCGAAAAGTCCACGGAGAGGGGGTCAAAACTGACCTCGACTGACCGGCGCATTATATGGTCTATATTACGAAAAAAAAAAGTTTGCCGAACGACCCCCTCCCTTGATATTTTGTTAGGTGGTAGGAGAACCCCTAGGGGTGTCAGAAAAAACTAGGCATATCCGGGGAAAATCTGTAAATGGGTCAAAACTGACCAGTTGTATTTTCCTATATAATCTTTGTATTTTATGGGAAAAACAGAGGGTCATTTCAACGCGGATTTTAGGGTACTTAAACTCAGTATATCTGGCTAATTTTTTGCACGCTCCTAGGTAAATGGCTTGGCCTTTATGGAGGGCTAAAACATGACCGCGAATTAAAATATCTTTATTTGAGCTATATAACGAAAACATTTCTTGCTGAACGACCCCCCCCCCCCCTTGATATTTTGTGAGATGGTAGGAGAACACCTAGGTATGTCACAAAAAACTCGAAAGGGGTCAAAACTGACCAGTCGTATTTCCCTATATAATCTTTGTATTTTATTGGAAAAACAGAGGGTAAATTCAACAAAGATTATAGGACCCATACGGTCTGTACATCTGGCTAATTTTTTGCATGCCCCTCTATAGATTACTAGGCCGTATGGAATAATTGTCGGTTTGACTAAAAACCCTCGACGAGGGCACAAAAATTCTCCTTATATGAGATATATATAAATAAATTGACGAACGATTCCCTTAATACTTTGTGAGGTCGTAGACCAACCCTAAAGGGAACAAAAACATTTTATTCGCGTCGGAAAAAACTCTTAGGGTCGTTAGATTTATCCAGATTCGATATTTTCTTATATAAAACATTGTTTGGGGTCATCCATAAATGACGTCACGCTTTTTAAAACGATTTTTACCTCCCACACGACGTCGTAAAAAGCCAGACCCCCCCCCCCCCCCATAAAATGACGTCACACCTCAGCCTACAACCCTCCTCAAAATTGAAGTTGAATTTTTTTTTAAAACAGCTATATTTTTCCAAAATCTTGTCTGAACTCTGTCAAAAAAGAATATTTTAATCAATTGTTATTACAATTGATTAAAACAGTTTTCTAAACCGCAAAATAACGTCTCAAATTCGTTTTCTATTTTCTAACATTGCTTTTTATAATGCAAAAGTGTGACGTCGCCCCATCTGAACCCCCCCTCCCCCTCATCACACACCGTCACAAAAGTACTAGCCCCCCTCCCCCTACGAGTGTGACGTCATTTATGGACGACCCCTTGTGAAAAAGTAAACAAAGAATACGTCATACTGTCTATATACAGGGGAGGTAACTTATTAAAGTAATCATTTTTAAATAATTTGTATACTATTTCATAGAAAAAACAAAAACCACAATGTATAGCATTCGTTTAAAAAATATATTTCGTTATACATTTAGTTTTTTTTTTAACTGAAATTGTAAAATTTTCTTGTAAAAGTAAATTTACTATAATATATGATTTTTTACTATTAATGAAGCCTTTGCAGTTCTAATTACCTTGCGAGTTATAAGTTTACGACTACACCAATGCTTTCTTGACATGAAATAAATCTGTTAGTTAGAAGTGTCCGAAATTTCGCTCGGACTTTTCGATCTAGACAGACAGACTGACGAGAGACTGGCATGGAAGTGAGTTAAATAAACGCTTGTAAAAAAATTCATAAAAAAACGTTTTAATAACAAGCTGTTATGTAATAATGCACTAAAAAGTAGAAAATAAATTATAGACTACTATTTAAATAACTATAAAGAAAAGCGTGGGTCACTTTAGTATCTATTGCAGGGGTCTCCAAACTTTTCAGCCCGAGGGCCGCATTAACTATCAAATATAAGGTCGGGGGCCAGAGTTTCTTCCAGGCATCTCTTCGGAGCGCACCACACACCCAACGGAATATATATATATATATATATATATATATATATATATATATATATATATATATATATATATATATATATATATATATATATATATACATTTTAAGTGCCTCCCACCCGAGAAAAAAGTCTGAAAGAAACACTGTCGGGGACCGACAACCCACTCGAGGTTTCAAGTTGGTTCTCAAATTGTTCGTCACATAGACACGTAGGCCTACTTCATTCTAGAAAAAGTTTGTATGTTGTTCCAAAATTTGAAAGGTACTTGGATGCAAAAGTTTTAATATTAGGAATATTTTCCTTGGGCAAATACTTATAAAACCCACCCGCCCTTATTTAACGTTGTCTTTAAGGAGGTCATTTACTGGGCAATCGGTCACATTAACTTCAATGGTATTTGCACCCAATGCTACATTTTCCGTTTGTTTTGAATTTTTTCTCAGCCACCTCCAACAAAAAAAATTTTTCCGTTGACAAAAGGATCTCAGAGAGTCCGAGGGCCGGATGAAAGGACCTCGCGGGCCGTAGTTTGGAGACCCCTGATCTATTGGATACCTTTACTAATGTTTAGGAAGAGACCCACGCTTTTCTTTATAGTTATTTAAATAGTAGTCTATAATTTATTTTCTACTTTTTAATGCATTATTACATAAAAGCTTGTTATTAAAACGTTTTTATGAGGGGTTTTTTCAGTACTTTACATGTTTTATTTACAATAGAGTTACATGACTAAAAACCATTGCGCGCCTACTGAACGTGATAGCGCAGCTATTGAACGTGATGACGCGTGTGGTGTGGTTGGATAGGCATGCCTACTAATTCGGTCCAAATTTTAATTAATTCATAAAAAAATAATCAGGCATCCAATTAGGTCAAATTTAATTTCAGATTACATTGTCTTCATGTCTTGACCCACGTGCCAACTGTGAATCGTATCGGTAAAGTAGAAGTGTCCGAATATTCACTCCGGCGTTTCGATCTAGACAGACTGACGACTGACGACAGAGGAAGTGAGTTAAATAAAAGCTTGTAAAAATCAAAGAAACATGCACATCAAATGAACACTACTAATGCGTGTGCATTTGCGC